TTGCATACCAAACGTGCACAATGTAATTTTCACATGAAAATCTTTTCATGCAAATATTTTTAGGGCAAGCTTTCTATGCTTCCCCTACAACATAAAACTTATATACTTACCCTTATCCAACCGTCCATTCTGAATGGAGCGCTAAGATTGCCCATCACAATATCACGTCTCTACACTATTGTGTTTTTAATTTTTTTCCTATAAACTATTTTAATACTAAATTTTGGATATCCAATCTTCTATTAAACTTGCACTAGCAAAAAATATAAAAAATATTTCTAATAAAATAAAATGACCAAAATATTCAAGGGTTATTTTGGTATGTATCATCTTCTCATTTGGTCATTATAGGTGCGCCCCAATGAGAAGATGATACACACCAAATTTCATATTTTTAAAATTTGTATAAAAAAACTAAAAATAAAATACTTTGAGATGTCGGATTTAGATCAAACGGTGAGTGGCTCTCTTGATAAAAATTGGATGGCTGGATGGTAGGGGAAGCATAGATCTTCTATGATGTAGGAGAAGTAAAGAAACCTTTCCATTGTTCTATATCTGCAAATTTGCTCTTATTTTTTATAGTTGGACATTCAAATAACCCAAATACTCAATTTTTTACTCTTTTTTTCTTTCTTTATATTTTCCTTTTTTTCTTTTTTCTGTGTTCCATTAGTTTGGCAAAGATTAGAAAGTAATTTGGCTATGATACTAATTTTTACATTTTTTCTTTTTAATTTAGATTATTTCATAAATACTCTCAATCACAAATCGTGGCATTTCCTTCGTTGTGATCCCAACCAACATAATTTTTGACAAATTTTAAAGTAAAACACATTTCAAGCACTTTCGGAAACATACTTCTCCTACCTCCCAAGCATTGTGAAACATTTTTGCCTCCGCCTTTCACCAGATAAAGTTTATCCTCCTCTTCCTATCACCATGCCCTCCCTCCTCTGCTAAAGTCTAACATCTGCAGTAAATGTTGTTTTTTGGGCTGACACTTCCAAGAAAAGAGCGAAGGTCTGTAGGGCACACAATCCCCTGTTGGTTCTCTAGATAAATAATTTAGCTTCCCGCTCCTCATATCATACCTCAAGAATTTCCACTCGTTGCGCAGTTCAATCGTCTTTTTCATGATAAGAATTTACTCACTCTCAATCTCGTGTATTGGGTTTTGTTCAAATTGCAAAACCTCAATAATAATCTCTTTCTTTCTCTCTCTCTCTTATTTATTTCCCTTTCAATGGAAATATCTGAGTCTTTCTAGCTTGTTCCCATTAAACTCAATGGCACCAACTATACATTTTGGGCTTCATTTATGCGCAATGTCATTCATGGAAAAGGCCTCCTCAGACACATAGATGGGACCCAGAGGAAACCTGATGAGTCAGGAAAAATAGAAGAATGGGGCATAAATGATGCACGAATTATAGCATGGTTAATGAGATCCTGAGAAAGTAATATAGGGATCAATCTCAACACTTTCAAAACTTCTCGAGAAGCATGAAAATTTCTTGAGGAAATTTATAATCGGACTAATTGGGCACGAAAGTATCAGTTAGTACAGGAACTTCGCTCCCTCAAATAGGGAGAGCAGTCAATTCAGGATTTTTACTCTACCCTGAAGATACATTGGGATGTTCTAGTATTTATAGAACCTGTGATTGAAGATGGTCCTAGTGCAGAAATAATTGTCAAATCTTGAACGGAATTTCAAGTTATTTAATTTTTAATGGCACTTTGTCCAAATTTTGAGAGTGTTAGATATGGTTTGATCCGTAGAAGTACTCTCCCCACTCTGAATCAAGCTCTTTTTGAGCTTATTGCAGAAGAAACAAAGATTAAATCTCTTAATTTAGTATTTAAAGGAGACAGTTTTTGCGGCAACCCAACCTCAGAGATCAAATGTGCCTAAACAAAATCAGTGCAATTCATACTATGTGCCTCCCAAGAACATGACATCAATCCGATGTAATTATTGTAAAGAATTGGGACACTTCAAGTACAACTGCCCAAAGAAGAAGAAACCCATATTCGTTACTGTTGTTGATACATGTCCACCATTGATCATGTACCCACCAATTCAAACTGGATCCCACAGTCCTACTCCTGCTTCACCACCTGCGACATTTCTATTGGAACAAGTGCAGTCTACAGTCTATGCTTTCCCAGTCACACCTCGCCTCTGTGCCCACTGCCTTTTGTTCATGTAACTCTATTTCTACTTCTTGGTTGCTCGGCTCAGGAGCTTCTCATCATATGACCTCCAATGAGTCAATTCTAGTTGATTGTAAGTCTTTTTCTGATACTTTCCATACTGCTGATGGAGCCACTATGAAAGTGTAAAAAATGGGCTCTATATCTCTTACCTCCAACTACGAGAGATAAGTTATCTCAAAAGACGGTCAAATGTTGCTTTATCGGTTACCCTAATCATAAAACATGATATAGATGTTATGATCCTGTGACTAAAAGACTTTGGGTATCCCGACATGTGGTGTTTTCTGAGCACATTTCATTTTTTGAAAATAACACAAATACTCCGTTACCCTTTCACCTTTCTTTTTTGGTTCCTTTCTCTGATTCTGTTTCTCATTCCTCTAGTTATTCCACCAGTACTCCTCTTTATGAAGTCCAGGAAGGAACTTCACCAACTCATACTGACAGTCCTAATTAGAACCTTGTACCTGTTGATCCTCTGCTCCCTGCTCTTAGACGAAGCACCCGAGTCTCTATTCCACCTCCCCGACTTGCAGACTATGACACCTTCTTACCTCAGCATCAAATATTCCTTGCCTCTGTTCATTCTTTTTTTGAACCTCAGACGTACCAAGAAGCTGCAAGTCAACTTGAGTGGCAATAAGCAATGACTGATGAGTTATATACTCTCGAGCGTATGCATGCTTGGAACCTTGAAACTCTCCCAAAAGGAAAAAACTGTGTTGGTTGTCGATGGGTATATAAAATTAAAACTATCGCTAATGGAAGTTTAGAATAAGACAAAGCCCGCGTAGTGTTAAAATGTTATAATCAGCAATATGGTATCGACTTTGTAGAAACCTTTACTCGTGTCGCTCATATTACTACAGTTCGTATACTAATCTCAGTAGCCTCTGTTCAGCAATGACCTCTCTATCAATTAGACTTTTCTCAATGGTGATCTTGATCGTGGATTCTAAACACCACATGTGTAAACTTTGACGGGCCTTACATGGACTCAAACAAGCACCTCGTATTTGGTTTGAGAAGTTTCGTAATGAAGTCCTTTCGGTTGGATTTCAACAAAGTCATCATGACCCAGCCCTCTTTGTTTCTGAAACGTTTGTGGGACGATTTCTCTTGTTACTATATATGGATGATATGATTTTATCTGGTAATGATATGGGCACAATTAATAAAATCAAACAGAAGCTTAGTAGCACATTTGAAATGAAAGATTTGTGTTTCTTACGGTATTTTCTTGGACTCGAAGTTGCCTATTCTCCTCATGGCTATCTGTTGTCACAACTGAAATATGCTTCAGAGATTGTTTCTCAAGTTCGATTCTAGAATGCTTCAAAGAAAGTTGATATCCCTCTTGAGGTCAATGCCAAATTTCGGGCTACCAATGAGGAAGCTCTTCCTGACCCAACCTTTTATAGGTAACTGGTTGGGAAACTAATATATTTGACAATTTCACATCCCGATATTGCTTATGCAGTACATGTGATTAGTCAGATTTTGAGTGCCCCGTGTTCTATCCATTTCGCTGCTGTTTGCGCATCATTCGTTATATCAGGGATTCTCGTGACCAAGCCTTATTCTTCTCCTCTTCTACGTCACTTGAGCTCCAGGCCTACACAGACTCTGATTTTACAAGAAATCCGAGTGATAAAAAATCTACCACCGGATTTTGCATTTTTCTCGATGATTCACTTATCTATTGGAAATGCAAGAAACAAAAATGAATTATTCAATCAATTATGGAAGCTGAATACTTAGCTATGACACAAACTACCATCGAGATTGTTTGGCTATGTTGGCTGCTCGAAGACATGGGTGTCACTATCTCAACTCCTACTTCACTTTATTATGACAACAAGAGTGCCATCTATATCTCTAAAAATCTAGAGTTCTATGAGCGCACAAAACATATTGAAGTCGATTGCCACTATGTTTGACAAGAATATCTCATAGGCACAATTTCCTTACCATATGTGCCTACCGCAGCTCGACTCGCCGACTTCTTCACTAAGTCTCATCCTCCACATCCTTTCTCATAGTTTGTTTCCAAACTCTCAATGATTCATTTCAAATCATCTTGAGTTTGAGGGGGAGTGTTAGTGGATACATATGTATCGTGTATATCAATACACATCATTATGAATATGTATGGGTATAGGTGTTTATTTAGTAATTATCAATAACGGTTGGTATCTATCCAGAATTGTTGTTGGTATTTATCTAGAACTGTTATTAGCTGTATATTTATACGGGTCTTGTACATTCTTAATCAATTCATTGAATACAGAGAAATAGCTTCTCTCACAATGACCTCCATTTACTAAAAATAAATGGTCTCTTTATATACTTTCAAAAAAAAAAAATTATGGTAAGGCCGCAAATATCTTGCCGTTATGTTTGTAAATTTTCCTTAATTAATTTTAGAAATCAAAATTTAACTGTTTCCACCTGCATTTCTGAAATCGAATCTCCCAAGAGTTAACACATGACATACATTTGGTGAATAATGGTTATCTTGCCCCCGTACCCATTTTGGCAAAATTCATACTCATCATGTTCAGAAAATTGACTAATTTACTCATGTAATTCAAAACAATCATTCATCATAGCAATCTTCAACCCATGTATGCATGAGGAACAGAAATCCTGAAATGCCACACCACCATTGGGAATAGATGGTACAACAGTATTCTACACCATGCCATTACATAACATGTGTTTGTGATTGTGCTGCCCTCTGTTTTGAGGCTCTGTACTATTTATTGGTTGTGCAGGCAGGTGCCGAGATGGTCGGAACTTTCGTTCTCATGTTTTCACTGTGCGGTGCCGTCGGGGCAGGGCAGGGGTTCTTAGAGAGCGCATGTGTTGGGGGTTTAGCAACTGTGGTGGTCGTGATCGCAACATACCCCATCTCTGGTGGGCACATCAACCCGGCTATCACAATTGCGCTCACAGTCTCCACTCCTTTCCCCAAGTTCCTTGTAAGTCACTTCTCCACTGGGCTAGTGGTTGCCAACAGAAAACAACTCCCCGCCGCCTTTCTATATCTACATACTTTTCTTTTCTGCATTTCTATAAATTTGTTAGCTCATTGCAAATCACTGTGTTGTTTGATGGCTTTGTTAGCTCATTGCAAATCTCAGTGTTGTTTGATGGCAGGCGTCAATATATGTCTTTGCGCAGATAGTGGGATCGATGCTGGGCACTGTCATGGGTAAGTATGTGCATCAGATACCATTAGAGTTAATAATGACTGCGCCTCTCCATGGACTTGAACAGGCCATCTTCGCCGAGCTTATTGCCACCTCTGTCATAATGTTCCTTGCATCTTCTTTATCCTATGATGTCTACCCGGTGAGACACTACTCCTCCCACCTTAATTTGCCATCCATATAATGCTCACATTTTGTTGGTTTAAAAGCAAAGCACAATCCTCAAATGAATGTGAGAATTGAGAAACATAGGCTTCTGCAGGTCATTGTAATACATTATATCTTTTTCCTTCTTTCAACCTGCAACTTAAGCAGGTTGCTTGAAACAGAGTCTTGAAAATCGGTGACATATTTGTGCTACAAAATAAATGGACAGTGAACATAACAGCAGTATTAGAAATGAAGATTAGTCACAGGACCTACCAACGAAACCAAGAACCAGATCTAAGACAAGTCCAACCCACCGTAGAAACAAAGCCTATTAAATTTCAGTTTATTTTTTTTGGTCATTTTTCTCTTTTATTAGTTTTGAACTGTCTGACTGGTTAGACCACACGGGTATGAACTGCAACTGATCCGTCTCCATTCCGATATCTGGTCCTTTCCTTTCTAGCTTTATACGTGCTCTAACCTTTGACCTAAGGTGCTGCAGTGTTTACTCATCTGCTAAGATAACTCTTTATTTTTTTGTTATAATATTGGGTCAGATGAGGCAAACACCGGGCTTTGCAATTGGAGCAGCAGTTTCGCTTGCCGTGCTGACCATCGGGTACGTGTGTTTCTTTTTCTTGATTCTAACTTCTAAGTCATGGCGAGCTACGGAATGGTGTTTGAAGATCGTGGGCATTGGTCTTGTTTGTGTAGGCCGGTGTCAGGAGGATCCATGAATCCTGCAAGGTCACTAGGTCCAGCACTGGTTGCTTGGAGGTTCAAGGATCAATGGGCCTACATTGCCGCCCCTATTGCTGGAGCGGTTGCAGGAGCATTCCTCTACAAACTGCTTCGATTTTCCCAACCATCACCTCATCCCTCTCCAACTCATCCATCCTCTCTCCCACATCAACAATTCGAGCTGCCCTCCTCCGGTATCCAATAGTGTAAGAGATTACCCACACTAGCTTCGATCCATCAGCATTTCTCTCTCTTGCTCTGTGCCTGTGTATGTGTCTAGTATGCTTGTGCAAACATGTGCATGCACCAGCGATTAAAGTATCAGAAATTATGACGAAGAAGTCTAATAGCCCGATATCGAAGAAATTTAGCCCTTGCATGTATGTTTTCTTTCTTTCTTCTCATTTGAAACAATCTTTGGCTTTGATTGCATGTGTTAGCAAACAACACAAGAGGGGAAATTTTAGTTTACAAATTACTAGCAAAAGGGCTCGATTCAACTGTAATCATACATGATATTATAGTTTAGAAAATGGGAAGACAGTCTGCAATCAAAATGTGCTTCACTATCTCTTCAGGCTAAGCCTACAATTTTATTTGGCATACATTTTAATGCCGTTCACTTTTCTTTTGTTTTTTTAATGTTAATGACATTTTATTGAGGAAATAAAAGTTACAAATACGTAGAAAAAGCAGAAAGGGAGCAAAAGAGGAAAGGAACTAAAAGCACAAAAAGGGAAGATAAAGAAAAAAAGAAAAAGAAAAGGACTGAAACAAGGGGCTGTGCATTTCTGCCTCTCCACCTCTAAGACGGTTGTGTCAAGGAATGGGCGTAATCCTTTTAATCCCCAGTAGCTCCCTTTGCAAACACATCTGCCTCCCCAGTTTGTTCCATGTAAATATGTTTGAATAGTGCCGTACATCCTTCTAAACCTTTCAAGATTTCACGGGTAATATGGCTCCCTGCCCATGGCGTTTGCTCCATGGATTTACACTAGTTAATCACATTAGTTGAATTTCCCGCTATGATTGTCACGACCCCGACCCTGCCCCCGACCACCATATCTTACGCGGCGACGGGCGATCAAGCACGGGTTTGTGATTCAATGTAACGTTTGTCACTCAGGTAGAAGTGGACTCTAACGCCTTTATCTTCAGAAATCAAGCAAACCATAGCAGAGAGCTAAAACGACAAGCTTCACTAGCAGAAGAGTAAGGAAAAACTCCACACATTAAAATTCATAATACAAAAGTCTTCCAAAATATTGCATTCAACTTGGGTCATCTAGGCCCAATATTACACATGTCCACCAAGAACAAAACAAAACCAGGGCCAAACAGCCCAGACATAAACAAGGTCTAAGCACCTTCTTCAAGAACACTAGCTTTGTCTTCTAGCCGCCAAACACGAACTTCCAGTCCTGTACCTGCCGCTATCAATCTACAAGGAGAGGATAAATAATGGGATGAGTTATACAGCCTAGTAAGCAGGTCTAGTGTTATGCATCTGTGGTGGTTCTATCGAACTGTGACAATAGTACAGTTTATCAATATAAATAATTTAGCACAAATGCCTATCAATCAAAACAGCAAATATGAACATTTCATCTAATTGTGAGTCATCACTATATTAGTGCGATCAGAGCCTTCAATTAATGAAATCATAAATCATTCCATCATTTTCATGCTAAACATTCCTTATAAAGGACTTCAATCATTACCTACGCTCTCCCTAAATCATCTACTCCCGCAGTAGAGGCCCTATCCATCAGGCTAAGCTAATCCTATTGCTTAAGACTTCTACCATCATACAGGAGGGATGGTAATGACAAGTGGGATAATCCACTTCGTAATAAACTCAACACACTCATACTGTCCCCAACACGAATTGGGGGTTTGGTAAGCCCTTACATTGCAAAGCATCAATCACATATCATTTCATAAATCTAGAGTGCGACCCTTCATCCTCTCCCTTAACCCGTTCCTACTATTATGCAGTTAGGGGATATGCCGACATCTCTTTCGTTACTATCGATGAGTGTCCCATCACGTAGCAGGCAATATCATAACAACATCCACTCCCAGTGAGTGTCCCACCGCGTAGTGGCCAATATCAATATAAGCAGTGGCCATTCATTGCTTCATAACAGATGAATCATATTTCATCATAACATCATTTAGCAAAAGACATGCATTCATAAGCTTTCATAGGGCATTTACACATAAGCTTTCTCAGTAGCATTTAGCATTCATTGTTAATTCATTTCCTCTTAATCGCGCTCGTGGCCTCTTTTTCTCACAAAGTGCAGTTTACACGGCACCATTCACATATCTTTATGACATTCTCATGGAATTTATCATATGGTATTCACATTTATTATATATCAAGATAACTTAGCATCGCGTGGTCATACAATGATGCAGTGACAAGTGACGGTGACATACCCTCTTAATGAGGGCGTAGCTCCTGATGTAGGGGGAGTTTCAGGATGCCTCAAACATGAAACCTTAAGCTAATACACATTTATTTACAAAAACAGTGATTTGAAGAAATTTTGGTGCCATTTGATGGGCCAATAGCTCAGTACAAAGTGAACCTTAGTCGTTGGAAATTTCCCTGCAATAGTGCGCAGTGACATGTTCGCGCATTTCAGGTTATAGCTCAAAATCCATGGGGAGTTTCAAACATCTCAAAATATGCAACTTTAAATACATTCATAAACATTTCCAATGGCGAAAATTTCAAGGTTTTTTGGATACCATTAGCTAGGCCAAAAGAATCGCCCAAAGAGGGCCACAGTTGCTGGAAATAGCAGCGACTGTGAACAGTGTCATGCCTCGACATTCGGGCCATATCTTTTTATCCATGTAAAGTATTCATGAAAAAATTAACTTAGATCATATATACGTCTTTCATTTGGTACTAATTTGGTCCTATTTGGACGCCATTTGGTCATCGAGCATATAGATGTAAAAACATTCACAGATCTGGAAATTCATAATCTCAAGTTAATATACTTTTAAAGAGCACTTCATATTTCCTAGCCAAGCTACACTTTGGGCTTGGAACCTTATTCGTGATAACGAGTCTCACAGTGAGAGATTTCATGAGTTTCTATAAATAAAAAGATCAAACATGTGATAGACACAATCATCGCATTGAGAAACACAAACTAAAACTTCAATCTCATGTTAACCCATTCATTCTTCATATTTTCCTTTATGTCATCTAATTCATTTCAACATTTTTACAACACTCAAGGATGCATAAAGCTAAACCCACATACCTTAACTCCTCACGGTATCACAAATCCTCACTCATGGCCTTCACGGGCTTTCCTTGGCTTCACCAGTGGGCTGTTGGGGCAGCAGTGAGCTTTAAGAGAGAGGGAACAGTTGAGAAAAAATGGAAGAGACCCGTGTTGCCCAAGGCTTAAAAGGAGATGGTGGTTGGAAAACACTATGGCTGATGCAATCACTCATTGCTTTGACACGTACGGGGCGGCTCTGACATTTACAGAGGTTGTACATTTGACTAAGATGCTCTCGACGCTGCACTATCAAACATCCAACTGACGCTGCTGCAGCTAGCTTTGCTCCAACTGACGATACGTCAACTAGTGCTACTCCAACCAACATTGCGCTATTCTATTTCATCCAACCGGTGCTGCTCCTACCGGCGCTGCTCTAATTGGTGCTGCTCCAACTGGCACTGCTCTCTTCTCTTCTCATCCAACCGGTGTTGCTCCAACTGGTGCTGCTCTTTAAACATGCATGGCAATGCCTCAGACGACATTACTCCATACGCCTTCTCGCTCGACATCACATCTATCTTCTCACGCGGTGATACTAGTTTGGGAGAAAATTGTGGCCCTTACAATAATCACCTTAGATTTATGGGGACCGAACCTTGTAATGGCAAACTTTAGTGCTCACAATTCTACCTCATTGTTACCACATCGATGCAACTGACCAAAGCAAGACTAAATGGTCGCCTCATTAAAATCCCTTAATAGGCTTCCATACCCATTTCCTCACACTGCCATCAAAATTGAGTTTAACCCTTGACTCAAGGTTATTCACGAAGAACTCCTTAAGGTTGTCCCTAAATGCAGGAAATGCTTGCGTCCACGTGATAACTGAGGCCATGATTGTTGATCAAATTTGGGTCCGCTCCCTAGACTTTCCCTTGAACGTTCAGTAATTTCTCTCTTTTCATAGAATCCACAATACTGCAGCCAATATAATGCTCAAAAGATTAAGCCCAACACTCGTGAATGGGGGCGAGGGGGCTGGAAAATGCTCAACAGCTTGAGGTTGAACCTAATTGTAGTCTGAAGTGGTCGTGATCCAATCCCACAATTCTCTTACAAATGGGCAATGTATAAATACATACTCGTTGATTTCCCCATCTCTCTTACACAACAAGCAAATAGTCGTGAGCTACTAGCCATGAAACGCTTTCACTTCATGTGGTAAATTGCATGGCCAGATCTTGTTCACTGCCACATGTACCTGAGTGTACCTATCCCTTGTAATATATGAATATAGAGATTTTACTGAAAACATTCCCCCAGGCTCTATTTCCCAAACCAATTTAACATGTTTTCTAAGATAATAAAAGAAGCCATATAGCATTCCTATCAAGTTGGTGTATTGTTGTTCAATCAAAGTATTCACCCTCCTTACATCCAGCCTAATGTCCCACTTCTCCACTTATTAAAGGCCTGATGGATGAATTCTTCTGCATTGATCTCTTGTAGAACTCAGGGAAGTGATCTTTCAAGGGATAACTTCCAATCCATTTGGAGGACAAAACCTTGGTTCTGCTCCCATCGCCAACTATAGGCTACAAATATGGTCCTAACTGGTTCTATCCCCTTCCAAATTACTGAGGCAGGTTCTGCTCCCATTGCCAACTATAGGCTACAAATAAGGTCCTAACTGATTCTATCCCCTTCCAAATTACTGAGGCAGATGAATTAATAGCTAAATGCTTTCTAATAAGTCCATTTTTATCTTCTTCATACATGTCAATAATAACCACATCCCATTCTTGCCCATTATGCTTGCTAATTCTCCGCCACCATTTGGTAAGAAGTGACTCATTTACTGCCCCCAGACTTTCCAGATACCCAGCCCTCCTTCCTTCTTAGAAGAAAGAGAGATTTTTAACTGGTAGATGGAGATTGAAAAGGATATTTTAGTCTCTAAAATTTTAACTTTTTGAATGGGGGTAACAGGAAGAAATAATAATAATTGAGTTATGGGTATGATATAAAAGTATTGAGGGGTAGAATTTCTACAAAGTACATTCCACGGGGTATCCATAATTTTCCCTTGTAATTATGATATGGGCTCTTTAAGAAAAAACCCTTCAAAGATTAATTTTTTACTGGAAAAGGTTTATATAAGGTGCTAACCTTATATTGTACGAGTGCGGTGTAGCTAAA